GGGCGGCAGGAAAGGGGGGCGCGGTCTGGACGGGGGGGGGTCATTTCCGGTCGCGGGATCAGTCCCTGAGCTCCGAGGCCTGCGAGGGTCTGGTCGCGGGTCTCGGAGCTCAAGGAGGTTGCGGGGGATGGCTCCAGTGCTTTGGAGGGGGGCGTCCCCAGGAGATGGGTACCCGGGAGCTGCCGACACCGGCCCCTGACCCTCCTTTCGTCCTCGGCGGGCCTCAGGGACCCCCTCCGGGAGTGCTCCCACCCTTTACCCCTTTTCCTTTAAAATCCACCTGGCTTGGATGTTGATAAAGGTGCCTGGTTTGGGGGTCTTTCACAGAGACAAAGCAATTTCCCAGGGGGAAAAAGTCATGTAGAAACGATTCACTGATATGTAAACCCTGAGGGCTGCGGCGCCAACATGGCATTAGTGGGGAAGAGTATGGCTGGGGCGTGGGGTAGGGGGCTGGGCCCGGAGTTGGGGCTGGGGGCCCACAGCAGCTTTGTCAGGGATTTCGTTTCTTGGGGGTTGCTCACTGGGACTTTGGTTCCTAAGTACCACGAGGCTTTGAACCCCAGCTTCTTAACGTTTTCTTCAGCGCCTATAATTTATCAAGTCTGTGAAAATAGCAGAATGCAGATCCTTGAATTTTCACACAAATGCGATAATTATAGTACATTTAGCAAGTGTTGGACACAAAATTCCAGCGCAGTCTTCAGTTTTACTACCAAGACTCACCCTCCCGGCTCCATATACACGACCATTCCCACCCCGTCTTCTTTCTCCATTTTCATTTCCCATAAAATCGGACTGCGAGCTAGGAATGAGGCCAGGCCGAGGCACAGTGGAGCAGGTTTGAGGTGTGGGGTGTCTTCAACCGGGAAGGAGAAACCTGTGGAGGAGGGATGAAATCTGAGGATGGGAGAGATTTTATTGTCCCTGAGTTGGGAAAGATTTGTGTTCCACGGATGCTGTGGGTCCTAGGCTGTTGGCTTTTAGTTTAGGATGGGCAGTTCATGTGGGTTTTGGGGGATTTGAGGCTAAGAAGCTCTGTGAGATGAACTAGTCTCGTGAGTCTCAGGTATAGGAGAATTGAGGCATCAGTAGGTTTGGATTTGAGAATCTGAAAATAATAATCCTTGAAATAGAACTTTTAAATTTATAACAAAAGGGCTTTCACGTATGCTGGCTCATCTGTCCTCCATAGCAACCATGTCAGGTAGACATTTTTCAATCCTCATTTTCCAGATGAGCAACTTGAGGCTTTGAGAATTGAATATCTCCCTGGAAAGTCACATAGCAGAGCTAAGCTCCCACCTGGTTTTTTGACTCCAAATGTCACCCTTTCCCAGAGTCCTGGGCTACATTAGCCAAGTTACTTTTCAGGAGCCTCTTGTGACCGTGGTGAGATGCCACAGAGCAGGCTTAAGGTTGAGTTGTCCATTGACTCTGGCTGGAAAGAGAAGGTGGACTCTAGTGACCTGATGAGAGAGCAAGGAAATGCTCAATGCTGGGGCGAGTGCAGTGGGGGTGGAGAGAAGAGAGAGCTCTCAGGGGAACCTGGACAAGTTAGGGAAGCCTTCCTCCAGGAAGTGGAGATTGACCTTGAAAGAATGGGACGGCTTGGCCAGGGTGGAGAATTGGAAGGAATTCTGGGTTCACCGTGGTTGCCTCTGTGCTGGGAGGTTGACGTGCATTCTCTCTAATTCTTACAGTGGCTCTATGAGGGGCGGGTGTTATTTCCATTTCACAGTTGAAGAAACTGAGGAACACAGGATGTATGTAGCTGACCCAAGTTCACCCAGCTAGATTTGCACCCAGGCCCAGGGGACTGTTGAGTGTGTTGCCTTGGAATGGATGTCAGACTTGGACCACCTCCATCTCAGATAAGTAGACAAGAACAGGGACTAGAATGATCTGAACTGGCAAATGAAACAGGGATGGGGGCTTAAGCTAGAAGGTCAACAGGCTTTTCAAAGCCAGGGAGCTTTACTAAAATAGCCCTATAACCCGGGGCCTCGTGGTGGTGGCGGGGGCGGGTTAGGAGGGAGCCTGGCCCAGTGAAAGTACTCTCAGAGTTCTGGAAGCTGTGACTGGAGGAGGCAGAATGGTGTTGGAAGGATGCTGGGCCCTGAGCGTGGAGATCTAATCTCAGTTCCCTTCCTTACTGCTGGGTGCCTGGCTCAATACCTTGTAGATAGCCCTATAACCCGGGGCCTCGTGGTGGTGGCGGGGGCGGGTTAGGAGGGAGCCTGGCCCAGTGAAAGTACTCTCAGAGTTCTGGAAGCTGTGACTGGAGGAGGCAGAATGGTGTTGGAAGGATGCTGGGCCCTGAGCGTGGAGATCTAATCTCAGTTCCCTTCCTTACTGCTCGGTGCCTGGCTCAATACCTTGGACAGGAAAAAGATATGGATGACTAACCTGAGCTGCCCAGGGACAGGAACTGGGTCTGATTCACTCCATGTGCCCCAGGCCCCAGTGGAGGTGCCTAGAAGACATGTACAGCCATTGTGTTGTCAAAGTGAATTAGGCCCCACTGGAGAGGAGGGAGGTGTGCCCTTTGAACATTTGGAAGATGGCTTCAGAAAGGCCAGAGGGCATTCTAAGGAAATGCACTAAGAAGGACAAAGTCAGGGCTGTGTAAAGAAGGAACAGGAAGAGCCTTTGCTACAGCCACAGTATAGGTGGCAGGTGTGAGTTTGGGTTCAAGTCAGGCTCTGCCACCAAGGTCCCTTGGCTTCTCTGGGCCTGAGCTTTCCTTTCTGAAAACGAATCCTGAGATTCGATGATGTCTGATGGTAACCTGTGGGAGAAACCCAGTGCCCGGGAATGGGGACAGGAGACTCAGATGAGAGGAACTAGAGGTGTTTGTATTGTTTTAATAATTTAACAAACACTCATTCAGCAATTACCTAGTGGTCAGGCCCTGTTGTGCTTTTTCCTAAATTACCTTATTTAATCTTTATAACGGCCTATAAGCAGGCACTATAATTATCCCCATTTTACAGGCGAAGGAACTGGCACAGAGAGGTTAAGTGATATTGTGTAAGAGGCAGAGCTAGAGAACAGACCCAGGGAGTCTGGCTCTTGAGTGGGCCGCTGTGGGCTTAGGCATGACTGGGAGGGAGGAGAGGTAACTGATGGGGCTGGACTTTAGATGGCAGAAGGTAGAGGTGTCCTCCGAGGAAGTCAGGCTGCAGCCTGAAGCTGGAGCCTCAGCCTGGGTTGATGAAGTGACAGCTCTGTGTCAGCTCCCAGGAGCCTCCACAGAAGCCAGCTCCTTTCATCACATTTAATGACCCATAGAAAATGGGCTCGTTTTCCTTTCTCTGTCATCGCCAGCTACAGGGCTGCCTCCCCCTTCTTTATTTTCCTTGATCAGTCTGTGTCTTTGTGAACGTCCCGATGGCTTTTGCAGGTGCGTCAGCACCTTTTCTCCATCAGACTGTGAAGGGGCAGCAGCGTTTCAGATTCAGAACCCGTCTACAACCAGCTGCAGGTCAGCAACTCCTGAGCCCCACGTCGGAGGCTGAGACACTGGCTTGATGGTAACAGTGGCAATAGTGACAGCAGCCACCACATATATTTAATGCTGCCATGTGCCAGCATCATCCTGGCACTTCGTGTGCCTTCTCTTATTGAATCCCCTTAACAACTTGTTGAGTCAGGAATGATTATCAGTAGCCCCGTTTTGCAGATGAGGAGACTGAGGCTCCAAGATCACACACTGTGGTCGAGGACGGGGTCAGCGGAAGCCAGGGGCATTAGGCTCCCGAGCCCGAGGTCTTAGCCACCATGCAGGAAAGACGCCTTCAAGTTATTTCAGTCTCCATGAAGCTCTTTTCCTCTCTGTCTGGAATTCCTAATTATCTAACATTTGTATCACGCTTTGGCCCACAGTCTCTCATTAATCCCCATGACAGTCTTTCGAGGTAAGAGATGTCCCTGTTTTTCAGAGGAAGAACATTAAGGGATCACCCACCTTCCAGCTCTTCCTATCCTGTCCACACTGTGACTTGGAAAGGGAACAGCGTATTAGATTCCCTGAGACCAAGTGCTGGGTTTAGCCGTCGAGCGGCCGTTGAGCACTTCCTGTGAGGGCTGCAGGGGAGGTCAAGGCTGTGACCCTTGAATTTTCAGAGGTTCATCTGTGCTCATGTTCTCCACAGCATTCCATGTCATGCTCTGTCCATCTGCAGGCAGAGCAGGACAGGACAGGAAGTCCAAAGTCCTGAGTTTCATTCCCAGCCCCAGCACACGCTAGCTGTGTGATCTGGGACACCATCATTGCATCAGTCTTGGCCTCGGCCTCCTGTTCTGTGAAATGGTCTTGCTGATTCAGTCCCGTC